CGGTGAGCTATACAGCTATTTCATTAGACTTGGGAGTAACCTTGAACTCATCTTAGTTTAATAGAAAATAATCATACTCAAACTATACAAAGTTTATCTTTTACTATTCTATTCTATCTTACAAGCATATGAAGCTATGGAGCTTCACATTTATAATTATTTATGGTCAACATTATTTGTAGCAGCTGCATTCCACGGACTTCATGTTTTAATTGGAACTTAATTTTTATTATTGGCCTACAACATCTAAATTACAATTTTTCAAGTAGTCTAGAAATTGACATTTTGCTAATGTATTTTGATTATTCTTATATATTTCAATTTACTGATTAGGTAGTTAATTTATAAAGTATATACTTGTATATGTGACTACCAATCACAAGGACTAAATAATTTTAGCATAAAAAATTATTATATTATTAACTATAAGATGCATTATTTTTATTATGAAAATATATAATACTAGCCACAATTTTATAAAATAAAACTATTACTGATTGAGAAAAATCATCGTGCCGCTTTGACACAATACATTTCTCTCGATGACCTTTTTCATTTCGATTTTCCTAATTGTTTTTTTAGTAGAAATTGCGTTTATTTTAACAACAATTTTAATTATTAAATCATCAAATATAATAAGTTGATCAATTAATAGTCTTTTTTATTAGCAGGAGCTTTAGAATGAAATAATTAAATAATTAAACAATCCGCTACAAAATGTTGAAAAAGAAAAACAGTATCAATAAAATAATGGTTATTGAAATATATTTGAATGAAAATTTTTAAATTATGTAGTTTCAAATGACGCTTATATATTTGAAATACGTCAATAAATGAGTTATGATTTTTCAAACATTGCAAGTTTTCCGTTACACATTTTACCGGAGGCATCGGGTTCGGAGTTAAAAACCAAGAATTAATCGTTTGAGGCTTACTGAATATTGTACAGGTGTTCCACTAAGGATGATTATAATATGTATTGAAGAAAATATTATAAAACCTATAATAAAGGTTGCACATACTCATTTCAGCTAAAACAATGTTTTTTTTTTTTAAATTATGACATAATTAGATACTATGATCATATTTTGAATTGGTAAGATACAAGAAGAGGTTGCAAAGAATGTGTTAGACATATTAAACCTGTTTATTTCACTTCATGAGAGTCACCATCAGCGATTTTTCACACACTCACTCACTCACTCACTCAGCGATCAGCAAATCGCTGATTTTGCCTAATAGAAAGCAAAATTTACAGGTTTTATGTTTCAAACGCATACTGTGTAACCTCTTCTTGTAAGTTACAAGTAAGACATGTCATCATGCCATCTATTGGTTTTATTATTATTTATTTATCATGCCATGGTTTTATTATTTTGGTTTTATTACACCAATGTTTAGAGGGAGGGAACAATTAAATTACTATTTATTTTAAGCAAAAAATTGTTTGACAGATTCAATCATTTCAAATTGAATGGAATATCTTTTGTTTTAGCACATTTGCATATCTCTAAACAACGAAAAACATTCTGGGAAGGAAAGGGTTAACCAACAAGTCGGGGCTGACCCCATCTTTAATTCTGCATAACCTTTTAATTTCAAAACTTTGTCGGTAGTGTTAATTATGCAAAACGTTTAATGTCCAGATTAGTAATGATAACCCGGTAGACCACCTACATGTGAAAGTCCAAAGCCCATATTTTAAGGATTCCCTGAACAAATTTAGAAAATGTATAGTACTTTAATCTAGATAGTTTTTCCCTCAAGACCATGCACCCATTACACAGCAAAAAATTCTGAATTTTAATTATCGCGTAAACTCTCCCTTCGGTTAATTTTGAGCTATACTTGGCATAAACAGCGGAATCGTTTACTAGCTTGCATACAATATTTCTTATTTATGCGATATTGCGCTTAAATTTACACGAAATATCGCGTAAATGTATGCCAAATCTAGCGTTAATTTTATGTGTGCTATAACTCGTAGAAATTTACATGAAATTTTCGAACGGTGTACTGGTGTGGCGGTGGTATGGTATGGCATCATACAACAAATATCATGCTGAAGACGTGTGGCGTGAGGATGACGATGATATTGGATGCCAGATTGATAGGAAATGCAACTAACATTCAATGTAATACATTTTTGGTTTGCGTGCATATATAAATTAAGTTTACCCAGATTGGACGTAACGCAGAAAAAACCAAAATATTGGTATATGGTTCATATTCAAAAAACTGGGTTTAATATTTACTCATATTTCACTTTTTTCGCTTAACGTCCAATCTGAGTAATCTCATAGCGCATTCGGCGTATTAAGAGTTCCCAATTTTCCCCGACCGTTTGAACGCCTTTAGCAGCATCGTGTCCCTAATAAAATTTGAATGGTTATTTTGCTTAACGACTTGTTCGGGGTAACGGCGCCTGTGGTGTAGTGGTAAGCGTGATTACCTCTCACCCCAGCAGGCCTGGGTTCAATACCAGTCGGTGCCGCCGGGATGTTCTGAGGCATAACATTCTCTGATCACGCCTTCCTTCGGATGGGAAGTAAAGCCGTTGGTCCCCGGTTCATGAGTTGATGGGTCGATAGGTAGGGTCCAGGTGTGGGAGCTGCTTTCCTGGCACGTCGGTAGCATTCAATTGGTGCTCAGCACGGAAAACAAGATCGACAAAAAAAAAACAAACCAAAGGAAAAAAAAAAAAAAACTTATTCGGGGTGTCATCCAAACCATGTGTGGAATAGTTCAATCATTCGGGTTATCATTCGTGCATGGTATTTTTTATTAGTGGTACCGTAAAACGGGGTACCTTTGATAGTTTTTTGGAGTTCATTCTAAATAATTTTAACAACAATGAATATTTTTCAAATTTTATTTTTTAAGGCAAGGGATCCTAGATTCAATTCTTTGGTAACATGTTTACCAGGAATTATTGAATTTGCACCATTGTTATTGTCTTGTGACTGAACATCAGTTTTTGTTTTGTTTTGGGGTTACTTATTATTATCGTATTATTACTCGATGAATGTAGAAAACCATGCGAGAATCTCAAATAATCATATATAATCAGAAACATCATAAGCAATAAAAAAAAAAAACAATATTAAATTTGTCATGACTTTATAGAAAATACAAATAATAAGTGATTTTTTGAGTGCCCGGGGAAATACAAGAAAAAATTGTTTTGCAGGTATTTGGAAAATATATAGAACATACTATAAAAAACTCTATACGGTATCAAAAGTAATACCCTGTGCTACAAAATGGAACCAATGTTTCCAATTCGTAAATAGTGCAGAACGTAAATTTAATCATTATATTCTACTATCAAAGTAACCCGCATTATCAAAGATATAGTTTTACGGTACTTATGACCAAGCATAATGTCTACCTCGACTCTCTTGATAAATAAATAAGTGCTTCATCATCGATTAATAGTGGTTCATAAAGTACACTCGACGTTCGGTAACAGATTAATGTTTACACATAGCAGCTGCATTCACTAACTGAAATGCATTTTATTTGTCTAACCAGTAATTTTCTTCTTAATTCCATCTGGAACCTTAAGCATCTTAATTAATCATTTACAAATGGGATCTTCATTTTGCGAATCCAGAATAATCCCAAGACTGAACAGCTGCTATTTGTTCACTAAAACTCCATCATGTAGAATGAAGCGCTTCTCGCTCAGCTAGTATGATCTTATGTCTTCAGCCAGAGAAAAAGGCTGCCGAAATAATTGTTATTTTTATTGTTAATTATGTTTTTTGGAGGGGGCATTGAGCCTGCTCGTCAGTGTAATGTTGACGACCAATTATACACCTTCCATGCAGCAATCAAACAGATAAAGATGAGATGGCTCTTAGATAATGACTTATGCGAGTCGATTGAAATCAGCCAAATATTAAATAAGGGTTAGGTTGATCCTTAACATAGAAGCGTAGATGCATAGGTGAAGGATGAGGGAAAGAAAAGGCAAAGGTGTTGAAATGAAGAATTAGATGTCGTCGAGATTGAATACGCATGTTTAAATAACGTTGATCCAGGTACCTATCGTACAAATTTGCATATCATATAGTTGTTATTATTGCCAATAATACTTACATTTCGAGAAAGATGATGCTACCTATTTTACCTTTTATGTGATACCTATCATCACAGAATCCAACCTTGAATCGTAGACCAGCTCCATTAACAATACACTCGTTCCGAGAAGGGGCTCATGGTACCACTCATCCTGTATAGTCATCTTTTTCTTCTTCAGGATCGCTTACCACCCGGAATGAACGCTCGGTGCGGTTCGTAATATCAAATAGTGCTACATGCAAACGAAAAAGAGATACAACCAGGATTAGTTTTTTAATGTAATAGTTTCATCTGAATACCCAACTAACCATATCTCAGTGACATTGTCTCACCCTAACATTTAAAGTTTAAATTCTACGGAAAACAACCGAGGGAAAAAGGATGCACTCACGGGAAACTACGAAGCGAACTAAACAGTAAGCGAATTGGTGTTGACGGCACCGTAGAAAATCATCTTATACCGTCAGAGATTGACAGATTCTTATGAGAATTTTCGCTTGAGTACGAGGATAGTACGATGTCCGCGATTTCGCACAGACGTTTTCTTATGGGATTTAACCATAGGAGTAAAGAGTAGAAAAATATCCAGATGGATTTCTAGTAAAGAGTTACAGAGCTGCGAACACACTCGAGTCGAGCTTAAGCCGACTCGAGTCATGCAGCCCGAGCATAATTTCGACCCGAGTCATGCAGATCGATCATCATGGTAACGTCTAACGTTGGTCTAACGCTAACATTTTTCCTTCTGGGATTAGCTGTAGCAATGCAAATAGAAAATCGATGAAGAGAATCGATCATCGCGTATTCGCCCTTATGCATGCTCACTGTCGACTTACACATTTAACACCTATTTTTTTTTTAAGATCGAAAAGATCCAATATCGCCCAATCCTAATTTAGGATCCATTCCATACAGCAGCCAGAATCGATGTTTGCATGTCGCATTAAAGTCTTAAAGAAGTTTTACCTCCAAACTATAATTTCAATTTATTCAAAAATATTTGATTAACGTTAAATATAGCGCTAGAAATACGCGATAACAGTGTGAACTAATCGTATTTATTGACTGGTGATGTAAGTACTTCATTGAATAAGGTTTTGCACCGCTAGGGTTAACCTAATCGGATGACAGTTCAGTGGTACTGTTAACGTGGACTTCATCGATTTTTTCTTGTGAGATTTTCTCGATAATTTTTTATTGCTGATTGCATCTGAAACTGGACTGTCCCAAAAATGCGAAAAGTGTGATAAAAGTGCACGTCAAATCGTTTTGATGTCTTCGGAGCACTTATTGCTTGCATCATAAGGAATAAGTGCACCGAAGACACCAAGACGATTAGACGTAAACTTGCAATTTTATCACACTTTTTAATAAGTAAAAACGTCCAATTTGGTGTGAAATGCGCAATAACTGCTGTGAGATGTAAACCACACTTTTGCAATGTCCGCGAGTAATAATTGTAATTATTACGTGTTTTGGGAATGAAATGCTGTTTCAAGTGATCCATATGAAAATCAAGTGATTTTCACGTAAATTTTATTGGACGGTCGTCAAATTGGCTTCACTTAAAAGTTACGTGAATTGTTTAGTAATCGTCACTGGGTTTTGTAGTAATTTTTATTTGAATTCGTTGTATGGGTTGATGGGGTTGATGCATATATTATGTCACATTCTAGGGGGGAGGGGGTCTAAGATTTTTTGACAAGCAATGCATTAAGTATAGGAGCATACGGTGGTAAATTCAGCGGGTCACTCCATGGAAGATAGCGCAGTGCGTATCTGACGAATTTGCGTTGAACAGTTTCGAATCGTCCACTCCGAAGAATTTGTTTCGAGAAGCTGTGTTGCTGTGGCGTCGCGTCGGTTGGTTTTTCATTTCGTTTGTTTTTGGTGCTTTGCCTCCCTCCCAAGAAGAGTTTTACCGAGTATTTTTTTTTCTTTTCTTGGTGCTGGCGTTCTGCCTTCCGAGGATGCACGCGAATGAGGTGTCAAGCAAATACAACGCGGAAGATTTTTTCGATTACCACGAGTGAACAAACCGATCCTTTTTTGGAGGCAGAATTTGGTGAGATCCATCTGATTTATAATCAATCATAAATGCATATTTCCATATATTGCTAAATACGCGCCAGATTTCGAAATCTGGAAGTGTGTTTGCAGTACCATTATTCATATGATAACGGTAGTGTTTACATGCGGGGCTTATTGTATGTGAAAGTAACCTCGGAATAGACGTGAATTACCAGGCATTCTGAAATGGGTTGCTGAATCTGCATTAGAGTAATCGCTTTCTAACTCCCGGATTAAACTTGTTTCAAATTATAACATCAAGGATTGTTGTAAGCAAATTTCTTCCATAATACCACTGCCGGCCAGTGGGGGTTAGATTGAATACACACACACAGCAATGCATTAAGTATAGGAAAAACGTCACGATATTGACATAAAACTGTTCTTTTTAGTAACTATCATGTGTATCATGTAACCTATTCTTAATTCTATACCATGGGCACTGGTTGTTGTTAAGTTGATCGTTTGCATTTGTTTGCTCCTCAATGCTCTAATAATTGCTGCTTCTGAATAAAGGAATAGTTGGTTATTGATTTATTTAAAACATTAAGTTTGATTCTTACATTTATTTTCCTCCAACAACTGATGACTTCGAAAAGGACATCACATCTCCAATTGGCGTTGACGGCACCGCCGAAAAATCGTCATCAAAGATTGACAGTTTCTTATGGGAATTTTCAGTGGAATGAAAGGATAGTACGAAGTCCGCCATGTTTCACGCACAGTCTGACGTTTGCTTATGGATTTTACCATTGGAGTAAAGAGCTACAGAGTCGCCGTCAACGCCAATAGACGTCTTTTTGTTGTAACCACTCCTGTAGTTCGGCGATTAAGCTTGTGAGGAGTGCTCAAACCGATTTTAAACTCTTCAATTTATTTTGGATATTGAAAATCAGGATTCAGTTATTGTTACAAACTTACGCTCAAAAACATTAAAAATCCCTACTCGACTAGCAACAAAAAACGCATATTTTCATCTGCCGTTATTTTGAACTAACAAATACGCAGACAGTTTTCACACCATGAGGTCACTCAAAATTTACGTGAACTTCACTTAACATTTACCAGTATGACACTTGAACTCCACAGTCAATTTAGTGGAATTAATTTCCATTAGTAATGCTATATACAGAGATTCGCGGAAATATCACCAGACGATTTGGCCACGTGATTCGTTTTGTTCACATAAGCTGCCATAGAGCAAAATGTTCAAGCTTCGTGCGTGACTTTACCGTTGTCTACGGTATGAGTTTGTTTGTTTACGTTATGAAGAGCTTTGAGTGGGTTGGTTTATTTCCTTTAAATTCCGTTATAATTGCTTATCTTTTGACAGATACGCGTATTTCGTCTACTACTTGCAGACTTCATCAGGGTCAAGTACTCAACACCACTCAAAGCTCTTCATAAAGGGATTCCGTTAAGAGGTTCGACACATTTAAAGGATTGTTTACGTTATTGAATTCTTATGTCGTTTTCGTTTTTGCGGTGTAGCTACACCGGTGCTACACTGCCGTACATCGAAATAAATTAGGGGGTGGATATAGGATGCACCTTTGTTTACAAACAAATATTGTTGAGCTGTCAAAGACTCGCGCTTATTCCTGCTTACACTACACCGGTGCTACACCGCAAAAACGAAAACGACATTAGTGAAACAGTGAACCGCGGTCGTAGAAATGCAACGAAGTGCAAAAATGTGAGCTTTTTTCCGGTTTCCGAAAAACACTCAACTTTGCGGACACACTGAGTTTTGCGGACAGGAATATAGCGTATAGTGTTATTGCGCACTTCACACCAAACTGAACAAATCAAGCTGAACATTGCATTAGGTCCTAAGTAACATTGACAGATTCTCTTCATCGACTTTCTCTTTGCATTCCCACGGCCATGTAAAGACATTCCCAGGTATTTTCAGCACACATATCGATAAAAGAAGCTTTCATCTAGCATCTAATACGACAAACACAACTAGAAACGGTTATGAGCTCAAGTTATTAACGAAAGAGAAAGTCGACGAAGAGAATCGATCAATGTTACTTAGGACCTAATGCAATGTTCAGCTTGAAATATGTGTGTTTTCTCTCTTATGTTATTGCGCATTTCACACCAAACTGGACTAATAAGCGCGTTTTCACTTATTAAAAAGTGTGATTAAAGTATACTATCGTTAGATTGCCAATTGACGAGTGCACGGATGGATTTGAGTTCACTCACTCGACAAAAAGTGACACAACAGCGGGGCCCTGTTTACTAAAAATGAACACATATGGTCATTTTTAGTAAACAGGGCCCCGCTGTTGTATCACTTTTTGTCGAGTGAGTGAACTCAAATCCATCCGCCCAGAAGGAAAAATGTTAGCGTTAGACCAACGTTAGACGTTACCATGATGATCGATCTGCATGACTCGGGTCGAAATTATGCTCGGGCTGCATGACTCGAGTCGGCTTAAGCTCGACTCGAGTGTGTTCGCAGCTCTGTAACTCTTTACTAGAAATCCATCTGGATATTTTTCTACTCTTTACTCCTATGGTTAAATCCCATAAGAAAACGTCTGTGCGAAATCGCGGACATCGTACAATCCTCGTACTCAAGCGAAAATTCTCATAAGAATCTGTCAATCTCTGACGGTATAAGATGATTTTCTACGGTGCCGTCAACACCAATTCGCTTACTGTTTAGTTCGCTTCGTAGTTTCCCGTGAGTGCATCCTTTTTCCCTCGGTTGTTTTCCGTAGAATTTAAACTTTAAATGTTAGGGTGAGACAATGTCACTGAGATATGGTTAGTTGGGTATTCAGATGAAACTATTACATTAAAAAACTAATCCTGGTTGTATCTCTTTTTCGTTTGCATGTAGCACTATTTGATATTACGAACCGCACCGAGCGTTCATTCCGGGTGGTAAGCGATCCTGAAGAAGAAAAAGATGACTATACAGGATGAGTGGTACCATGAGCCCCTTCTCGGAACGAGTGTATTGTTAATGGAGCTGGTCTACGATTCAAGGTTGGATTCTGTGATGATAGGTATCACATAAAAGGTAAAATAGGTAGCATCATCTTTCTCGAAATGTAAGTATTATTGGCAATAATAACAACTATATGATATGCAAATTTGTACGATAGGTACCTGGATCAACGTTATTTAAACATGCGTATTCAATCTCGACGACATCTAATTCTTCATTTCAACACCTTTGCCTCTTCTTTCCCTCATCCTTCACCTATGCATCTACGCTTCTATGTTAAGGATCAACCTAACCCTTATTTAATATTTGGCTGATTTCAATCGACTCGCATAAGTCATTATCTAAGAGCCATCTCATCTTTATCTGTTTGATTGCTGCATGGAAGGTGTATAATTGGTCGTCAACATTACACTGACGAGCAGGCTCAATGCCCCCTCCAAAAAACATAATTAACAATAAAAATAACAATTATTTCGGCAGCCTTTTTCTCTGGCTGAAGACATAAGATCATACTAGCTGAGCGAGAAGCGCTTCATTCTACATGATGGAGTTTTAGTGAACAAATAGCAGCTGTTCAGTCTTGGGATTATTCTGGATTCGCAAAATGAAGATCCCATTTGTAAATGATTAATTAAGATGCTTAAGGTTCCAGATGGAATTAAGAAGAAAATTACTGGTTAGACAAATAAAATGCATTTCAGTTAGTGAATGCAGCTGCTATGTGTAAACATTAATCTGTTACCGAACGTCGAGTGTACTTTATGAACCACTATTAATCGATGATGAAGCACTTATTTATTTATCAAGAGAGTCGAGGTAGACATTATGCTTGGTCATAAGTACCGTAAAACTATATCTTTGATAATGCGGGTTACTTTGATAGTAGAATATAATGATTAAATTTACGTTCTGCACTATTTACGAATTGGAAACATTGGTTCCATTTTGTAGCACAGGGTATTACTTTTGATACCGTATAGAGTTTTTTATAGTATGTTCTATATATTTTCCAAATACCTGCAAAACATTTTTTTC